CCCCTTTCTGTCAGCTGGCTGACCGCTGCGTGTCAGGAATGCGACTGGAGACTTGAGGCATGGCTTAACTCAACTTTCCATAAGCTCCAAGTCAACGTAGCACAAAAAGAAAGAGGAGTGCTGAGAACTGTTGAAATAATTTAATATATATCAACAACCAACAATACTGCTCACTACAGGGCTGGAAACATTGGGAAATTTGACAAGCTTAAGTTTCAGTAGAGAGATGTGCAAGAAGACTTGACAGCGTAAGCACAGGATATAGCTCAACAAAATACCTGTGAGGGCATTACAGATGCTGAATAGACACAAATCCCTAGTCCAAGTACTAATACGTTCCTTGAGTGGGATTTCAGACAAACAGTTCGAGACCAGATTGACCACTATGTCAGTCATAAGCGGTAAGCCTAGGCTTCTCTTTTTCCTCATTTACACGTACCTTTTCCAAAGCTTTGGCTATTCGAGTACCAACTTGTTCTAATGACTGTGGTGAGTACTGGTCTTTGCCAAGATTCTGTAGCACCTGTGGAAGAGGAAGAACATGTGCTTAGATGCTGGAACCTGGTAAGAGATGCCCCTCAATTGTTGGTTGCTTTTTTCCCCAGCCTTTTACAAACACTATAACCTGTTCCAATTCAAACATCACTGTCTATCTTGAGTTAATACTATCTGTATTGTCACAGTGTTATAACTTCATGGCTCTGAATACTAAGAATGCTACAAGTTTACGTATGGTCATTTTGACTTTTCTTTTACTAATTCATCCACCAAAAGCTATAAATACAAAGACACTAACAGTGTTTTAAGATTTGCCTCAGGCCAGATTGTAGATGGCTGGGAAAACATTCTGGTAAAATATCACTGTCAGCTTGCACTGTTCTTACAGTTTTATCCAGGCATTCACTCACTGAAGGCCACTGAGCTACATGCGCCTTGAATCTGCCATGGTATGGCCATTCTTGTGTGACAGGCTTCAACTCTGACATACCTCTTTCAGTTGACTTTCCCCAGTGTAATGCAAGCTGGCTCGACTAGAGACACCTTGCAGGTGGTCCAAAGTATGCATACTGGCTGGTAGATTTGGGTTACAAAGGGGCTCCATGGCTGGTTCTTGCAGCTGTGTGGCAAAATCAATGTGTTCTGTAATGCTACAAAGGTCGGAAAACAAGTTGAATCAGTCAGGAGAAGAAAACAGAAGAGTTATCACAAAGTTCTCTAGTGAGTGTAAACTGCCCAGAACCTGTCAGAATCTCATTGGAGTAGCCCAAAAAGCAAGAGAAACTGGATCTTCCATCTGCACTTGCACTTTTCTTTGCAAATCTATTGATGAAATACCACAAAATGCTTTCAAACTTCTTTGAAATCCTGGCAGTTCTTTCTTTAAAGAATACTAAAATCTTCAGTTTATGCACACTGAAGGCAATGTAACTGTCACCTTTTGTGCGAGTAACTTATTTAAGGTTCATATACAAAATACTTACTCAATGCTTTTAGCAGAAACAGCAAGCCATGTGCTGGCTACAGTTGTAAGCTCTACCCTACGGAGTTTCAGGCATTCATCAGGACTTGGCCAGCCAAGGCTACGATAGTCACGCCTTTTTCCTTGAGAAAGGAGAAAAAGAAAAAAAAAAAAAAAGAAGAAACTTGAAGCAGAAAGATATCCTACTTCAGTACAATGATTTACAAAATACTTTATGCCAGTGGATACATTCCTTACATTATAAAAGTCAAGGTCCTGCAGCCAGATTTAAGAACACTCCTGAACTGAATGGAACTTGTGGGATCCAAAGACGGAACTGGATCCTACACATGACAGATTAGGAGGTGGAGTTTTAAAACCTGTTTCATTACACTTTTTCAATAGCTACAGATTAAGAACAATCCTCACTCTTGTTTACAGGCAATGTCTCTACTTAAATGTCCTTAAAGAAAGTTCATAAGTGAGTCACCATTTATGTTCTACAGCTACAGTAAAACCTAATAAAAGTTGATTGCTCCATCTTCTGACAATCCCAAGTGAAAAATACTGCCGTTTCTTTTCAATGAATATTGTTTAAGACAGACAGTGGCTTTTACTGCATTCTCACACTGAAGATGGCAACATTTCTGAAACTATTAAGCAATTACACTTCAGCCCTCCCATTTCGCAGAGAAGTTAACCGAGGCAGGGAAAGGTTAAATAACTTGCTTTATGTTAACAAAGGAATCACTGGGAAAAACAAGAACCTGATCTTCAAGTTTGAACCAAAGCCTACTGAAATCTCTCCCTTGCATTTCATGGATATTGTACCACGTCCTAGGAACCCAGCTTGTGTTAACTGTTAGGAAACATTTTCCTCTCATATCATAAACATCTGAACTGTTTGGAACATAAGAAAAAAAATCATTGTAGCCGTAAATTTGCACAGTGGGAAGCCAAGTTTAACAATGTGCCAGTCTATTGCACCAGCTACGTTGGCAGTATTTCAGTATTTATCTCTAGTTACCTGAAATTTTGCCCATTTGGATGCAAATCCTATTTCCCATCCAAGGTATAGTAAACCACTTCACCATAATTTTGCAAAATAACGATGAAGTCTGCGATACCATGTCTTTTGTAAAGTATTCTGATTAAAGGAAAGTTAATTTCAAGAAACACTAGGAAACTGCAGTGGGGAATGATCAGTTCTCATCACCACCACTGTGAACTATCTGCTTGTGAGTTCTTATTTGCATGAACGGTGAAAGATAGCAAGAGGTATGGAAACACTGCACAGAGTTCAGTAGTCAGAGAACTAGTCAAACACAGGACAGCTAATGTCATTTTCCTTTTCTACCAGGAACTCCTCAGGTGACCTCCAATATGCTACTGAAACTTTTGATGATTTAGTTCTTGCGAAGAGGATGTCAGCAGACCCTGCCTCACAGAGCGTTAGGAATATAACTGCTTTACAATCGAGGGATGCTATGTAATAAAGGCACAAAAGTAGCTCAGGAGAGAGAAGATAAATCGAGGAAAGGACAGGTGTGTGCTGTCTGTTAGAACGATAGTCTGTTTTCATGTAATCCCTCCCTGCTATTTAAATATTTAATTCACTTATATTGATCAGTTGCTAAAAAAAAGGATCTTGTTAAAGATTTAATGTAACAGCCTTCAAAAATATGAAATCACTTGCCAAGTCATCAAATCGTCAAGGACTAAAACGCATTGGAGAACACATCTTTGCTTACATATCAGCCCTACAACAAAGATTTTAGCTCCAATGAAATCAAGATAAGACCAAAAGTATGGAGGCCAATTACTTTGGTTCTCTGTCATCATTACGTTCCAGCAGCTCTAAATTTCATCCCAAGCAACCACAGGCTCATCAGTTCTGTATACCTGAATGCACCAGTGGAACTAGCTTGCACCATATTAACAGACCACTCTCCAGTTCATGTTAGTTAATGAGCAAAAACTCCACCTCTCTCTCCAAGCCTCCTCATCTATGCTGGTGCAAAACTCTACTCTTCTGTACCTCCAGTCTTCCGGAAGACAGTCTCTAAGGTCTCACAATATCGCCAAACCAAATACAGCAGAACACTTAATTTTTTTTAAAATTTATTTTTATTAGACCATGCTTTCTGCTTTTTGTTTTTGAGTTGTGTGTCCTATGTTTAATCAGTAATCAATTCAAGCTCTCATCCTGTATTTGTCCCAGAAGGGGTGTGTCTCATCTGATTAACTTCTCTGCCCAGTTTGAAAAAAAAAGATCATTAAAACTCCCTCCCTCTTTTACTCACAATATCTACCTCTTTCATTCTCTACTCTTACCACCTCATCCCCAAAAGTTCTGGGAATTAACTAGAAAGTTTTCATTCAGCAGAAAAAGTTATGCTGCAATTCATGAAGAAAGTGCAGATGGAAGAGATTTCTAATTTTTCCATGTACTCATATAGAAGGTATATTTCACTACGTAGTCTTTGTGGTGCATAGTTATGGTAATAAACCAGTGTAATATAAAAGCTGCAAAGGAAATAAACCATAGTAATACAAAAAGTTGCAAATGACTTGCTTTCTCTAGAAGCAGGTTACCTATTGGTCCAGGAGAAGGTATCTTTGGTCCACTGATCTCCAGGGCAGTTTGGTAAAAGTTTTCATTTTCTACATTAGTCCCTTCTTCTCCGTTTCTCCCAACTGGCTCCTGGAAATCCAAGCTTTCAGCTTTTGGTTTCTTTAAACGTTTGACCTGAAAAGTGATCTACCAAAAGAACAGTATTAGCAAGGTTAACGGTAAGACACACCATGAACTTTATCAGCTCCAATACACTATTTTAGCCCAAATATTCAATTTCAAAGGTGTTACACATGAGATCTTTCCCTCTCTCTCTCCCCCTCCACATCTCAATCCATTCTCTGAGCCTGCTCACTTTCACTGCATCACACCATGCAAACAATGTACACAACTTCAACTTCCAACATAGGAGAAAACCACTTTAAGTGCTGGAGAACTAAAAGGCATTTTTCATTATATATTTTGTTTGTAACATGATGACAACAGATATTTCATTGTTTTCATGCTAACAGGAACTTCTGGTTAGAAACTTTTCTCCTTTGTAACTGTGAGCAAGAAGTCTGAAGGCACTTGGCATCATTCAACACCTAAGCTCTTGCTGCTGCTGAGACTTATATCAGTTTTAGTGATGCAGAGGCCTTTCCTTTGGAAGATGGATTGAAATTACTTCAATTGTGTTCATTTCACACAAGCCATGAATCAGCTCTTTTAGGCCCACAGGGGAAGTTCCTATGTATATTCCAGTGTTAAACCCCCGAACTGTTCTCATCTTTCCCTCCTCCACAATAGTAGGTTGGTACAAGACTGAAGTAAACTCATCCAAACTTACCCATTCAGCCTCATCATCATCACCGCAGTCCCCAAAACAGGAGCTAGCCAGTCCATCCTGAGATCCCTTCTTTAGGACCCGGATTCCCTGCAAGTCCATCCGACGACCTTTTACCTCCAGTGCCCCTTCAAAAGCTTCCTGAGGCCAAGAGTTTTCAAACTCATCCACCAAAGCCAGCATCTCTTCAGACATCTGTTCATCTTCTAAACCCTCCATTCCTTCTGAACCATTACTTTCTGCAGTGACTGTGTCTAAGAGGGAATACCATAAAAACTTCAAAGATTCTTTTCCTGGTGCTTCCACATATCATACAAAAATGATCTTTTTCTGTGACCTGACTTTTCTACTTACACAAACCAAATATCACTGACTAGTCACTGCACGCTGCAAATGGAGGGGGGAACTGGAGAATGCAGACTTCCCTGTGGCAAATAAGCATCAACTGTTGCTTCAAAAATCAACACATCTAGACCACTTTCATCAGTTCCCTTTCCAAACCAGAACTCTGCCTGTTGAGGGAGTAAGCAGGTGGTGTCTTTTCTCTACAAATGTGCATTAAACACTGAATAAAGCTCTCTGTTCCTTAACCATAGACACTGTTTTTCTTCCCTTCTGTCTAGCACAGCTGATACAGAATTCACTGAGGTACAACGAACATGTGTTTGTAGACTCTTGCAAGAAACTACATCCTTTAGCTTGGAAAATGTCGAAACCTTGATCTTTTTTTTTTTTTATTGAACACATTTTGATATTATGCTTGGAGAAGAACAACAGTGAACAGAATGAAACCATTTTTAATGGTTACCTGTCACTTTACAGATAGAGGGAGAGGGAAACATAGCTTCTTGGAGGAAGACAGCTCTTCTGAAAAATCTAGAAACCAATTCATTTGCCAGCATTAATTTTGTAAGGATGACTTACTTTCCAGCCTCAAGAAGGAGGGATCCCTTGCTGAACTCTGAGTAAGGACTTCTCGATCTTCTGTACCTCCCTCAGAGTCTGTGTCTGCCACAGCTGTAACTGACTCATGGTGGTCATCAAAGTATTTCTCCTTGTCATGACTGCCATCTGGATTTTTCTCATGACAGTGACCTGAAAGAGAGAGATTTACTGAAACACTGCCGCTCCTCCTGGATACATGTGCAGAACCTGTACTGCAGAAGCTACAGTCTTCTAGTTTTTTACATACAGATTAACAGAATAATTCTACAAGGTACCAAAGACTTAATTCAGTGATTAAAAAGCTGATCTGCCTCTTGACAAGGCAGATCACCTAAAACAGTTACAGGAAACTATGTTATTAGGTATACACAGTGAACTACTAATGAAAGAAAAATCAGTTATGTTTTGAGGGAAGGTTGCACAGTAGGTAGGAAATGACTGTGTGCTGGTAGCCACTCCAATGAGCATTCTCAAGACATATTTTTAGTGACAATGCACCATATGTGGGGGTTGCCTGCCATATGAACTTCACTTAGACACCATAATGCTAACTGTGCTTATATGCAAGAGAAAAAGGGCCCAAGCAGACTGATATGGAATTGCCAGGCTCTGACCTTCTGTGCCAGCAACAGACAGCACATAGGTAAGACTAGCTCATTAAACAAACAGACAAAAGCTGCAAGTATTAGTCCGTGCCAAAAATCAGAAGTTTATTCAGCTGAAAATTTAGCATCTATAATTATGTGGTCAGGTTACAGACTCACATCCCACCAAATGCAAACATCTAGGAATAACATTAGAAAAATCCAAATGTAGAGCCAGTAATTAGTAATGAACAGATAAAAAAAAAAGTGCAAACTAGCCTTTGAGCATCCGTCAGTGAGACACTGTTAAGCTTTTAGAGTTTAAAGGGTAGCCACCTGCAACTTTACAGCAATGTTTTGGATCTCGAACACATTTTAACTGAAGATCTCAGATTTTCTAACAATAATTACTTGCTAGTCTTCCAGGGCGTGAGGTGTTTACAGAGCTGCTCCCTAGGCCAACCCCCCAGAGCCACACAGGGAGAGGCAGGATTCTTCACGTGTGCGAGAAGCTGGGAGCTGCTCTGAATCCCACTGCACGGCTACAGGACCGAGACATAGACTGGGGCACCTGCCTCTCATCACCTGGGAAGCCTGTCACTACGGAGAAAAACATACTCCGTGTACAAAGCTGCTGCTCTCAAACCCCTCCTTCCTTTATTTCAATCACTTGTGAGTGAAAATGGCATACATATACAAATGAATTAAGAAGCACATAGTGAATCAAAGGACGCTTAAATGAAATGCAAGATTCTGAAGTACATTCCCAATTCTACCCTCATGAATGCGAATTGTATTGCTCTGTGCATATGGAAAGCATAATTTTTTTTCAACTGGCTGCATAATATGAAGAATGTGAATAAAGTAGATCAATGACCCCTTTCTTCTCCATGCAACGATCCTGTGCTACAAAAGAATATTTTTAGGTCTCACTCTTATCAAGCCAGCAGGACAAGAGGATGGTTGTAACTCTCCTGTAAGAGGAACCTGTTCCACCACTTCTCAGCAAACTGAAACTATAGCGTTTTGCTGCATGCTCTCAACTTTTGCATCTGTGAACACTCAGGTGGCATTTCTGGAGAAACAGACCAGTATTTTCTGGGGGGGGTGTGTGTCACCAAAATCTAACAAATAAAACTATATTCATAAACCCTCTGTGAAAACTATTTCTTGCCCTACCTTTTCTGCTGTATATAAAAACAATGTTATTTTATGAATAAATATCTACAACTTAAGCAGTTAACTTCATAAACTCTTCTAACATCTGCCATACAGTTATACTCTGCCTTTCCTGCTCTATCATTGGCGCCTTCTTTAATCCCCTCCTCATGCTGTCAATAAAAAATTAATTGGCTTCATTAAAAAAAAAATCTAGTAACTTCAATATATGGAGATCCTTGTGTTTAATTTATGAGAAATGGTGTGCACAGAACCTCCAAGCTGAAACTAGTCCCCCTGCTTGACACCAGACCAGCCTGATTTTGATGCAAGTCAGGTGCTTCTCAGTAATATGATAACCACAATTCACTTTGCTGAAGGTCAACTCATCATTAGTATAAAGGAAAGCAAAGAGGCTGAAAAAACAGACAACTGTTTTTAATTGAAAGAACAATGCAAAAAGAGAAAAAAAGATGGAAATAGCAAGCAGAAAAAAAATAATCATGAAGGCACTTAAAATTCTACTTAAGACCAACTCTGTTAATATTAATTTATACTGACAGCTAAAAACAGACTAGATGAGAGTACTGGCTTTCTTGGGATCTAAGAGCTACTATATATAGAAACCTGAGTGGCCTAGTTTTTTTCAAATCGCTGCTTTCAGTTGTCTGACGTCACAGGAGAAAAAAAATGCTGGTTAAAAAACCAATGGAAGTTCAAGATCTCTGCTGAGTGTGCCATGAAGCTGGTGGTACCAAAGGACTGCAAGTCAGAACTTTACAGCTTGTATCAGCTGGATGCCTGAAGACCAAGGAGGAAGACCACCAGGCAAGAGTGTGAAACCAGCAAGGGAACAACATAGCCCCCAACGCCAGGCAAACTCACTGGCTGCAGAACACGAGTTGTATCATTGCAATACTTCCAGCACCTTAGCTGTGTGAAGCACAACAGCAACTGCCACCCTACAAATGCTCAGCTATGTATTATTTATTAACGTTTCACATATATTCCAGCTAAAATGCACACACGTGAATTTTAGGTGTGAAGTCCTGACATAGCTACAAAACTTGGAAGTCTAAAACAACTTCATAGTACCTGATTAATTCAGCTTACTCCATCCTGAAAACTTACTACAGAAGGATCACTTTCTTGCTCATTTATTGCTCGTTTCCCTACTGATTCTGCAGAGCTAAAAAGACACAGAGAAAAGTGGATCAGAGTGTGTCCTACCTTGTGTATTATGAGACCTGGTTACTATGTTCCAGGCAGTGAAACAAAAATGCTATAGAGATGACAGAAAATAAGCTTCTGGGCCTTTATTTAAGTGATGGAAATAATACAAATAAATAGTCTGATTGTGCCAGATTAATGTAGAAATTGGGAGGGGACAAAAAATAAAAAAAGAGAATAGTTCCTGAATTATAAAGCAAATCCATTGGATAGGAAAAGCAAACACAAACTCTAAACTGAAGCATGGAGACCTTGGAGACTAAAAGCAGAACACATTATTATATATTAAAGCTCTCTTTCTCATATTGTTCTAGTTTGTAATTTTTTGGGGCAAATGTGAATGCACTTGTACAGCACTAACACAATACACATTTTAAATATGGAAAAGATCTGCTATATCACCCATCCTACCTAATGTTAATCTCCTTCTTGATTTTCAGGACCTCTCTTGAATGCCCACTGAAGCTGTGCTACCTACAACAGTCAGCAAGGCTAAAAACCCCAAAGTCAGACTCAAGTTCTTGTTTAGGAATTGTATGATACCAAACTCTTCAGTTGAAAACCACTTAGCATAAGGAAAGAAACACTCATCATGTTGACATCTGTAGCAAGGAAGGAGAAATATCAGGATGGAGAAGCAATACAGTAACTGACATTGAAGACTTGTCCCACCTATAAAAGGATAATAAATATTTATTCTGAACCATAATTCATATCACCACATTTCTCAGAAAAGTCACACCTGGAAACAATTATGAACCTCCCTTATTACATATAATTTTTGTGGTACTACCTGGGTTTTTTTTTTTGTTTAAGAGCAAACTTCTGTCAATTTAGGTGACTTCAGATCCTCAGACTGAAAGCCTAAAGAGCAAAAAGGAAAAACAACCCAAAACCAACCTAAAGAGCAAGGAAAGAAGTGTGAAAAGTATGGAAAAGAGGAAAGAAGACCAAATGGTGCCCTGAGGCCTATCACATGGAAGTGCTGCACCTTGAGGAGGGTCTTGAAAGTCATTGAACTTTACCATTAAAGAGGACACTGATTGTTTTAAAAATCTAAATTAACTGCCACTGGAGCTGTTTTCTCTGCCAAATGTACCACAAGACACAAACAAGGCCTCACTAAATATTTTCACTGTCTGATTCCTATATACCAATTTAAGATAGACTATCGGTGTCATCAACAGCTTTGGAAATAAAGAGTAAAATTATCTTTGGTCAGCACAGAGATTTACTGATTGTTTACTCTTTGTCTGATTGTCAGTGTAGAGCTTGCAAAATATGGTGTTCCTAAACTCAACCATCTATGATTCGACAGACTAGGTTTAAAAAAATTA